AAAAAAAAAAAAAAAAAAAGCTGTGCGGTCGGTCTCTCGCGATCAACGAGTGAGTGCGGTGACGCAAACAACTGCGTACAGGCCGTAACGGACAAAAAACGGAGTTCAAACTTCAAAGAACGAACATGGAGGGATTACGAAATGAAGACATAAAAGAAAGACAAAAACCAGAGGATCCAAAAGAAAAGCAGAATCAGAAAGGAAGAGGTGGATACAAGATGGAGAAAAGAACAGGAGAAAGTGAAGTAGCACACACAGAGAGCCATCAGGCATATACGCGTAAACAGGCACTTGAATTATAGATGAAAACCCAAAAATCTGTGCCGTACTGGCGGAAATCCCTAACCGATGGTACTGAAAGTGATAACCCACCTTAACTACGGTTGCGGTTAAGCATCAACAACTGCCTGACAACTGATACCCTGAGGTGGTGGGGACCACCAACCAAGGCTATCAAGAGTACCTGTCACAAAAATCAAAGCAGACTATCACTCACCCACACCAGACAGAAGAAGACTCTACAGACTGCAGGTTCACACCCCATCATAAGCTAGCGATTCCCCACAAAACAAAGAAAGGTCTGTCACAGCCAGAAAATACACTCCAGGCACACTGCTGGCACACGAGGCACAGCGTGTCCTCGTAGTGATAGTCCTGACCACTGTCATTCAACCTGGCTGGAGAAAACCGTAGCAGAGTGGAGCTATCGAAGTCGGAGTACATATCGTCATAGAGAACTGGTCAGTGAACCGTACGTGGCCCCCCAGACGCATCTGGACACTACAGCCTTGCAGGGGTGGGGTGGATATCATGACTGGTATGAAAATTCCACTTTTGAACGCGGTGTCCTGGCTGTAGTGGTTAAGATACCTGGCTCTTGAGGCCGAGGTCGCCGGTTCGAATCCGTGCTTGCACGATGGAGGACGTCATTGCTGGGATGAGATGGGTAGCGCCATCCTGTAACCTCAGCTGTGGGGGAGCTAGATGTGCAGATCCACTTAGTTGCTGATGATAGGCTTGTGAAACTTTGGTGAGCCGCTTGCTTACCTGTGCCCAGCTCGCTGTATTGCACAACGCAAAGGAATAGTGCAGCATTTCAGCTATAAGGCATGCAACCGTTAAGAGACTGGTGTTTCTGGAAAGATTGCCTGCTTAAAAAAGCCAAATATTTTGCAGCTGACGTAGCCAGGCCAATCTCCAATTTTTTTCTGGGCCTTTGGAAAGCTCGGCTGCATAACAAAAACCCACATGCATTCATTAAATTTAAAAAAATCATTTATCCATGATCCTGAGCTGGTCAAATTTATGTCTATATCTCGTAAAGATTGGACGGCATCTTCACTTTCCCTTTGTTCCTGGTTTGTGTTTTTTTTTTTTTTTTTTTTT